TCTCTCTCAATAAATAAATAAAAATCTTAAAAACAAAACAAAACAAAACAAAAAACTGCCTTTTTCCCAAAGGCTTTGGAGACAAAACTGCAGCACATACAGTAAGATGAAAGCAGTAGCTATTTTAGCCACAATTTATGATTAGCCATGCAATGTATTCTTTAGTTGACAGCTTCTAAATGTCTTTCATTTGCTTAGCATGGCATTTGCTTGTGTGCTGTAAGTTGCTTAATACATGTTTTCCGTGATGGATAAGAAAGTGCACTTATTAAACTTTGTAAAGATGTTTTGGAGATTGTGTCACAATAATCATGTAATAGATATAATAGTGTGTAATAGATGCTCAATAAAGCTTTACTAAGGGAATGAATAAATTAAGTGATATAGTCAGAATTATTAATCTAGAAGCACTACACTGAATAGATTAGAAGGACAAAGACTAGAGGCAGATGGTAAAGCAATGAAGCTAATGTAAGGGTATGCCAGCAGGACTGTTGTGAAGGGCATGAAAAACTATGAAGAATTTGGTTTTTTACACGCTAAGTTTGAGGTTCTGGCACACTGTGTTTCTCAATAAATATGTATAAAGTAAGTGACTAAGAGAATGAATGGATTGAAAATGTAGTCCAGTAGGAACTGGACAATGAAGACCTCAGAGGTCTTGAGAAGTTTTGTTAGAGAAATAGATTCTGGAGTTAAATGCATAAAAATCAGATGAAGCAGTAATGTAGAATTTACTGTCAAAATATTTGTGTGCAAAGATACTCAGTTATTTCATGATCCCCCTTGTATGGACTGTAGGAGGCATTGTGGCAGAGCTGGTAAGGATCTGGTCTCTAGAGCCAGCCTGCCTGGGTGCAAAGAGCTGCTGTGCCACTTCCTAAAGTTGGGACACCAGAGAAGTCATGTAATTTCTTTGTGTCTTAGTTTCCTCATCTGTAAAACCGAAAGAATTATAAGACTTACCTCAAAGGATTGTTTTAGGATTGCTGAGATAATAAAAGACTTAGAATAGGGCCAGACACTAAAAAAATATGATGCTAGGAATAGTATACATGTATCCCAGTGGGAAATCCCATGTAGTCAAAGAAGGCCCATTTGTGCTATTGTGTGTGCACTCCCACAGCTTTAGCAGTAGTGATGATTCTCTAGCCAAAATCTCTCTTCTGAGATTTATGTCACGACCATCTCACACTCCACATATCCTAAACTGAACTCATTCCCTTTCCTCCATAATTGGCACCAACTACTCACCCAACTACTCTAGACCGCTTTCTCTCTCTTACCTCCCACATCTAAATCCCATGGACTTGCGGGGCGCCTGGGTCACTCAGTTAGTCAAGTGTCTGCCTTCTGCTCAGGTCATGATCCCAGGGTCCTGGGATCAAGCCCCACATCGGGCTCCTTGCTCAGCAGGGAGTCTGATTCTCCCTCTGCCCCTTCCCCGACTCATGCTCTCTCTCTCTCTCACTCACTTTCTCTCTGTCAAATCAATAAAATATTAAAAAAAATTATAAAACCCATTGAATCAGACAAAACTTAAATTTTTCCTTTTGCGGTGTGCCTGCGTGGCAAAGTTGGTTGGGCATCTGACTCTTGGTTTCTGCTGGGGTTATGGTCGCCAGTCCTGGGATTGAGCTCCACATCAGGCTCTGCACTCAGTGTGGGGTCTGCTTAGGATTCTTCCTCTCCCTCTGCCCCTCCCCCACCCCCCTTTTTTTTCATGATTTTATTGGGAATAGATTATCTTAGAGATAGTGGAATCTTCAGTATTTTGCATTTTAATATTTTTTTTTTAAAGATTTTATTTAAGAGAGAGAGAGAAGGAGAGATAGTGAGAGAGTACAAGCCAGGAGGAGAGGGAAAAGCAGGCTCCCTGCTGAGCAAGGAGCCTGATGCAGGGCTTGATCCCAGGGCCCTGGGATCATGACCTGAGCCGAAGGCATTTGCGTAACGACTGAGCCACCCAGGTGCCCCTTGAGCATGCACACATGTGCTCATGCTCTCTCAAATAAAATCTTAAAAAAAAAACTTTTCTTCCTCTTCATCCCTGATTCCATCACCCATTTCAGGACCCTGGTATCTCTGGACTACCTCAAAGGCCTTTGATCTCTCCTAGTTTCCCTGCTTGTAGCTTTGTGCCCATCCTCTGCTTTTCATCTTCCACACTTCTGTCAGAATTAACTTCTAAACTTCTGAATTATAAATCAAATCATTTTATTCCACTGCCCTTTGACTTTCTCCTTTGGCTAAAGTCCATATTTCTTGGAATGATATGGAATGCACTCCATGTTCTGACCATGTACCACCTTAATAGCCTAATCTCTCTCTCTCTTTTTAAAGATTTTATTTTTAAGTAATCTCTACACCTACTTGGGGCTCAGACTCGATGACCCTGAGATCAGGAGTGGCATGCTCCACCAACTGAGCCAGCTGGGAGCCCCAAAGCTGATTTTTTGTAGTAATCTCTATACCTAACATGGGGCTGGAACTCATGACTCCAAGATCAATAGTTGAATGGTCTTCCAACTGAGCCAGCCAGGCACTCCTAATCTCTTTATTTTAAGCCTTTTTACCCAAACTTATAAAGGACTTTCAATTCAGTGACCACAGCAGCCACTTTAAGCATTCCTAACATTGCCTGTGCCTGGAATGCTTTTCCTTCTGCCCAAGAGCAGGGGCCACATCTTCTTCATCCTTGAGTCCCTATTGCTTAGCAGAGTGTGACAAATAGAGGTGCACAACAAACATTTACTGAATGAATTATGTAAATGGTAATAATTGCATCCAGATTAAGAAGTTAAAATACAAGGAGGGTTTACAAAATGTGATTCAATTCTATATTGTTGGAAATAGAATTTGTACCTTTTTTGGCTTTTGAAATTTTTATGACTAAGGACAAGTAAGCCTAACTAAATGAATGCTTTGAAGAAACCTCTTTTACCACATTTCTTTCCGTATGTCTTAGTCCTTGAGGGCTGTTATAACAAAAATCCATAGACTGGATGGTCTAAATAACACTTATTTCTCTCAGTTCCGGAGGCTGGGAACCACAAGGTTAAGGTGCTAGAAGGTTTGGTGTCTGGTGAGGGCCCACTTCCTGCTTCGTAGATGGCTCTCCTCTCTCTGTGTCCTCACATGGTAGAAGGCAGTAGGGAGCTCTTTGGGGTTCTCTTTTATGAGGGCACTAATCTCGTTCATGAAAGCTCCACCTTCATGACAGTCTCTTCCTAAAGACCTCACATCCAAATACCGTCACACTAGGGATTAGGTTTCAATATATACAATTGGTGGGGGACACAAACATTCAGTCTATAGCAGTATATAAGCTATTTAAACAGAATCATTTCTATTTTATTTTTTCACATTTTAAGAAATGCTTTTCTAGGTTGCATGAACCTTATTTATATTCTTATTTATATTTTCCCTATGTTTCAGTTTCACGCTTTAAGTGGCAGAAATATTTGCAACTATGAGCTGGTCTGTGATAATGATGTGAACCTGAAGAATAAAGACTCTGTGAGCCAGTGTCTGCATATTTTGTCCTCCTTAAGACTTATCATGCAGCTGGCTTTGCCACAGGAACACCTTTGCTGGATTATCTTTAATGGTACGTGCCAATGTCTTCTATTTCTCATCATGACTTTCAGGAGGTTATTTAAATGCCAAGTTTGATCGTAATTTGATTGACTATCTTGGCTAAATGGGTGATGGGTATTAAGGAAGGCACTTGTGTTGAGCACTGGGTGTTACATGTCAGTGATGAATCACTAAATTCTACTCCTGAAACTAATATTACACTGTATGTTATCTAACTAGAATGTAAATAAAAATTTAAAAAAACCCAAAAAACCAAATTACATATCCAAATTCTAAAAAATGTCTTCAAATATAAATAAATAATTTCTTTAAAAAAAACCCATTCATTTCATAATAGGATGATTATGGGGATTTTGTTTTTGTCTTTTTTATATTTTTGTTTGTCCTCATAAGCAGGAAAAGCATGCCTTTGGGCTTCCTGCTCAAGGGAGGGTCAGAGCCTGTGGGGATAGTCAGTTTCAGGTATGAAGGAGTAGGGGCCATGGTTAATAAATAAATATAGGTGGAAAAGGATCAAAGGACTGCTGCAGGTTAGATTGGTTCTAAGCATCATCCATTTATTGGTCCTTTCCTCAAATACTTTGTCCAGTGACTATTGCTTTTTACCTATCAACCTTCTCCTCCTACTTGCTTTTGAGAGAGGAGCTTTGAGAATGTATGTGTATGTATGTGTGTATGGTGTATTTATATACATATCTACATTGTATAGATACAAATATACATATATGCATTATATTTGTCTTGTGAAATGAATCATATCAAAATACAGCATCAGCTTTTCTCTTTAAGGAGTTACAACTTAAATTCAATTTAAATTCTTTTTAAAGTTATAGTCAGTCACCTACTATATTGATCTCTGGATAATTTCTTAAAAGGAAAATGACAGCGTGTTCTATGTGTGTAAGACCAGGACAAAATAACTTGAAAGAAAACGTATTAGATTTTCCCTCATCCATGGCAACTGAAAGTACATTTCCTAGCCTTTTCCCTCCTCCTCCTCCCCAAGTAATTTTTTTTTTGACATTTTGATTGAAATTGGACCTTACATTTGCTGCCTGAGATGAGGCTGATTTTGGAAGAAATTTTCAGTCCAGTGACTATTAAGCTTTTTTGCCTGATCATCCTCAAGAAGATCTGTGATTCCCTGAGTAGCCATTGCCGTCCTTCCCCCTGAGTTGCTCACATATCTTGGCAGGGACTGAGCAGGACCAGAGGTTCTGTGCTCATGAAGGAGTGGTAGGCCTGAGGGTTGGGGCCTGCAGTTGGGCCTTGCTTGAGAGGTGAAATAATTCCCTGTCTGCGGTCTATTTAAGATCACATGCGAGAAATCCCAATATTCTAAAAACAAAACAAAACACCAATTTCTGTATCTTCTATATACCTTTATTTGGTGTGTGCTTTTTTATACATATGGTCATGCTCTGGATTTTATTCTGTTTCCTAAATATTTTTTTACTCAATACCATGGTTTTAGAACAGAACGAGGTTCCTGTATGTAAATCTAGTTCATTAATTCTGCCTCTTGAATTGTATTCCACCCCTCGAGATGGGCACCTGGCTTGCCCTACCTCTATAATTGCACAAATGATTCTGTGATGAATATTTTTTTTTTTTTAAGATTTTATTTATTTATTTGAGAGAGAGAGACAGAGAGAGAGAGCACATGAGAGGGGGAGGGCCAGAGGGAGAAGCAGACTCCCCACTGAGCAGGGAGCCTGATGCGGGACTTGATCCAGGGACTCCAGGATCATGACCTGAGCCGAAGGCAGTCGCTTAACCAACTGAGCCACCCAGGCGCCCTGTGATGAATATTCTTATGTGTGTCCTTTTATAATCCTGTGTTAGAGTTTTCTGGGATTTTTGTCCAGGAGTAGGATTGCTGGGTTGTGGAAGATGCATATACTTAGTTTTGCTAATTACTGTTCCTGTTTTAATGAAGTCATCTCAAAGTTATCAAGTGCCAGACATTGTTCTAAGTGCTAGGGACACAGGAGTGGACAATAGACAAAAACTCTGTTCTCGTGCTTACATAATGCTTCAGGGAGATGATAAACAAACAAAAATTAAATGGTGTGTCAGATAGCGATGAGTACTACGGAGAAAAATAAAGCTAAGAAGGGGATAGGGAGAGCTGAGGTTGGGCTGGGGCTGAGCTGCTATTTTAAACAGAATGGTCAGGGAAGGCCTCACTGAGATGACACTTGAGTAAACACCTGACTGAGACATCTGGATATTTCGGGGGAGGGCATTCCGACTGGGGGATTAACAAATGCAAAGACCTTGTAGTTTTTAAAGTTTGGCGTTTGAGTAATGAAAAATAAATTGACCTACTGTCAATTTATCAAAAAGCATTTCACCTTTTCTTTAGACATTAATACCGATTCTCTTTACTTTTAATCGACTATTAACAAATACACTCTCTTGGTTTCTTAAGATAGTTAACCAGTTTTGGTTCTTTCACAAACTAACTGGGTGTATGACTATTACATAATACCTTACTTCACAACCAACCTGAACCCAACTCATTCAACCCTCATATAGCTGGATTATTTTGGTGGTGGCCATCTTTGATGAAAAGGAGTCACATGACAAGGCAATATACTCGTATTAGGGATTTGGTTAAAAATAAAACAAAACAAACTTCCAGAGATATCCCGAGATTGTAAAGATTCAACCTGTGTTCCATTTCATGTCATTTACTCTCTCTGTCAGGCTTCTGCAGTGGGAATTTGTGGACCATGCCAAGATCCTGAACCATCAAAGAAGGATTCAGTTATAGTCAGGACATATTAGGTCTGGAAAGGTTAAAATCTCATTTTAAAAATACAGAGGGCCGTTGTCATTCTTGAGGGCAGTCTCCTGAGGTCTTCTGAAATTCCCCACTTCCTGTTACTGACATGTTTAATACAGGCTCCTGGCTTACATCTGAATCACATGTTCTGCGGGGAGGCATGAGTTGGCTGTGGGTATCCTTACTTGGTAACTTTTAAGATAAAGAAACATAGTCAGACAATTTCATTTTTAAAGATTAAGAGCAGAGGTCAACAAAGCCAAGTTGAGATAAGAATGCTGGGCTTGAGCTGTTAGTAGCCAAGTGGTTTCTTCCCCAGTGAATCTTACGTGAAATAACTAATCCCATGTCCTGGGGGCAGCCACACTAAGAAGGCTGAGTCCTTGAATGTTAAGGACCTAGTGCATTCTCCATAAAGTTTATGGTGCTGCAAGTGTTTAAAAGTTTATTCAGTATTTTTTGTCACTGACTTATGTAATTAATGTTTATTATGCTATGCTTACAAGTGTATTTTAGTCAGGTGATGTGTGTTTTGGAGCAGATGCTGTTTTCTCAGAAGCTTTTAAAGTTTAAGTGTGAACATGGATTCGTAATTGTTGAATTTGGATGGTTCTGAATTTTAGATCAGATATTTTATAGAAAATATTTAGACTACTTGTCATTTTAATTACATGCTTTTTAAGGCACATTACCATCTTTGGGGTATGTTTATAGCACGATAATGTCCTTTGTATATAGAGAGATGTCTGGTGATGCTGTTCCCCACCCCTGTTTTCATTTAATTAATGGCCTGACCAAAAAAAAAAAAAAAATCATACTTGAATGGTCTTAAATAGGAGTTGGAAATGCTGTTTTTCACTAGAGTGCTTATAGGACATACCTTAATAAAGGGGTAAATATAATTATGAGACTGCAAATAAATAAAATGGGAACTATTACATGTTTTGATTTTTAAATTATCATGAGCTTCCTTGTTAAGTATTGTGCCATTTTGATTAAATATGTATCCTAATCTTATTTGGAGATAAATCTTTAGTTTTTCAGTCATAAAGAAACCATGGGCACCAATAGCATTTTATATAAATTAATAAAAACCACAGGGTGCATAAATTGTGCTACTTAAATATTTTTTTTCAATATATTTCAAAACTTATGCTGCCTTTCAAATGAGGATAAAAGATTCCCATGTCAACGTACTTAAAATATGGTCAAATTAGTTCTTTTAATGATTTGGCTGCAAGTTACAAAAGAAATTGTAATGATTATAACTCTCTAACCATTACCAGACTTTCTCATAACTTCACTTGTTTTAGGAACTATAGATTTAAACTACAGAAATTAGAATATAAAATTTCCATTATTTAACTGTTAAACATGTTAACAGTCTTTTTCTTCATCTAGGTACCATTTACATTTACACCATTTGCAGAAAACTGATGATCATAGGTCAGTCTTCCAAGGTATGAAATTTACTGACAAGATATCTTGCCCTGTATTTCCTGTTTTTCTCAAGACTTTTGTTAGCATTGAGTGCTGAACAAGAAAATTAGTGAATTATATAACAAAATTTAATATAGTTTTACTATTCTTTTACTTTAACATGATTCTCTCTAAAAATAAAAAGACAATAACATACTAATGAAAAAAAAAGAATTCCTAAAATTGATAGGTAATCTCCAGTGTCCCTCAGTCTCTCAGATTAGTCATTACTTGTCAACTTGATACTGAACATCCCTCTGGTAACTATCTCTTTAGGTAGGGTGACCATCCATCCTGGCTTGCCGGGACAGTCCTGGTTAATGTCTGTTGTCCTAGAATAATTATTAATAGGGCTCCCTTTCACTCCTTAAAGTATTCTGGTTTGGATGACAAACTGTGGTGACTTTATTTATGTTTGCTATGGAGTTTGGACTTCATTCTCCTCCACCAGCTTGGACTTGACTTACGGCCCACATGCTAGTTGGGTGAATGTCCACCTAAACATTGTCCCATTTATGAGCTGAGGGCAACGGGTCTTTATTTTATAATAAGATTCATACTTACTAGTACTTACTGCTCAGTTTTAGCTTGAGGAAGTGGCTGACACTTCCCTTCAATGTTGGTAGCACTTTTGTCTGTAGGAGACATATTTATTCCATGTGTCAACGTCCAGTCATTGGAATGTAGGCCAAGAAGGGAGAATACACTTCCGTTGAGAGCAGGCTTGAATTGTTTCTGGTATCTGAAACGTTACTGCTTTATTTATTTATTTATTTATTTATTTTACTGCATGCGAAACCTTATACTGAATATTCTAATACTCAGTGCAGTTACTTTTTTCCTTATTTCCTCAAAATATAGCCAAGTATCTTAAAATTTGACAATGCTTAAAAAATAAAAATGGAAGCAAAGATACTTGCATGCTCGATGCATAACATTAATTATGTGTTCTCTCTCTGTTTAGTTCCTCACATTTAAAAGCTCTATTACTGACAGTGACTCGAGCAAGCTCTGTGCCAGTGTTTTGGATGTAAATTGAAATGAGGGGAGACTGTCTCATGAATAATGTAAATGTGGCCTACACACTATTCCAACAATTCTACATTCAGTTCCAGATGATTTCCTAAAGAGGATTTGCATACTCTTGTTGCACTTGCTGTAGCAACAAACCCTGCTGCACAGAGCCATCGTGGTTTGGTCTGCTACAGCTTTTGTCTGCCGAAGCCTCGAAGGGCAGAGCTCTCTGTGCCAAGATGGAACTGTTAGTGTTTGTACTTAGTAATGCTGAGAGAATTTTACTTTAATGCGATAGTCATCTTAAAATAATTTTATTTAGATCCTGCATAAGACATCTCCCCTCCCCCTTATTGAACTTGAGCTTTTGTCTGACAAGATAAGGGCTGAAGGAGGATAGTTCTGTGGTCCCAGTCTTGTGGGATAGGAGCAGGAGGAGTGAGGGATGCAAGAATTTGGGGTGGTGGGTGGTTGTACAGTTGGCACTTGAAGATTGGAATGAGATTCTTTCAGTTTGTTCACTATAATACATTTCACGGAAATTAATAATTTTCACCCAGAAATTCCCAAGCCCTCAGCTGGCGAGTTGATTCCTGAGCTGAGGCTATAAATGAACTTGATGGGTCCATCTAATGGGGACAAGCCCTTGGAGGTCCAGCCACATCTGAGCACTTCTGAGTGTGAGCAGTTTTAGAATTTGAGTCTGTCGTAGCATACAGCAGAAAGAGAAGCAGACATGGGATCCCCAGGCTTTTCCTGGTGTCATCCTAGAGCCATCTAAGCTCCTGTTCCTACAGGATCTAGACAGTATGGCTACCATTTGTTATTATTATTGAATCCCTACTATGTGTTAGGTATTACGTGAAGGGCTTTGCATATATAATGCTCAGTATAGTCTTATGAGGTGTGCATCTATCTCATCATCATCATCATTTGTCAAATGAATGCCTGCCATTTATCAGGTATGCTGCTAAGCACTTTCTTCACATATTATCTCATTTAATCCTCATACCACCACTTTGAGAAAGGTGCTATTACTACCTTCATCTTAAAGATGAGGAGGCTGAGGCTCAGTGTCTCACAGAGAGGTGTAGCGGAGGCCAGTGCTACACTGTAACTGTACTGCTTCTCAACAACGTGAGAGTAATGCATGCCTGTTGACTAAATTCAGTCCTGTCATGACCCATCCTATCTTGGCCCACCTACTCGAATGGAGGAGCCCTGTAGGAGGGTTAATAGTTTTCGACATGACTCTGTATTCCTGAAGATGTCCTGAAGACCAGGACTGACCAGGGACTTTTCCCCAGATGCGAAACATTTAGACCTTCGTGCTCAGACAGGTCACCCGCCTAACCTTGGGAGTGGAGGGAGGCCGGATTTCTGAAGCCTCGTTTCCTAAAGACATATGACAACTTCCCTTTCACTTATGGTTTAATCTGTAATTTCTTCTGAGGCATTTAAAACTGTAGTAGGGTACTCAGCAAACATTAGAGAAATACGGTAGAATCTATTCATTAAAAAAGAAGTTGACGTCTGTTTCATTTTACTATAGAACTGAAATAGTTTAGTGAAATTTTGTGGTTTGAACAATTACGGTCAAATTATTCCACGTACCTTTACGTAAACTTCAAATCCAAACTTTGAAATGCCTCTCAGTGTTGTTTTCAGCCAAGGGTACAAGAGGACATAAATGGTGCTGCAGCGCCATCCTGTGGCTGAGATGATGAATCGCGTGTGTTTTTCCTGCTCAACACCTGAGCCATGCTCTTGCTGGGCTCTTATAACTGGGTTTTTCAAAAATTTTTTTCCCTTATAAAGAGAACAGTTCAGTGAAATCCCATCAACTTTTTTTTAAATTAATTTTATAAATTCTTCTTCCGAGCTTTTAGGGGCAAGAAAAAAAGGCTACAAATTAAGATTTTTTTTTTTTTTTTTTAGAAATGGCTTTTTCATCTTTAAACCTGACAGTTTTTCAGAACCCTAAGTGGAATGATGGGTTTTCAGAACTCTCCCTTTGTCAGGGCTGCCCCATATTGTGGAAGGAACGCTGCTGTACTTGGGAGTCCAAAGACCTGAATTCCAACCCCAGCTCTGTTGCTTACAAGCAGTTTAGCCTCTTGGAGTTAGATTGGGTTACTTTTAAGGTCCCTCTGGCACTAAAATATGTGATCGGGGTCTTTTATTCTAAGTCTGAATATGAACCCAAATGTAATGTGAGCAATTGGTGACTAAAGCTATTTTTATTTTGAAATATGAAATTTTTAATATCAGGGATCCCAAGGGGTTTTGAAAAGATTGTGAATTTAAAGGGGGAAAATTTATACATGGTTTGATCCCATACCCCCATAAACCACAACAGTACATATGCAAAAATCCACGATAGGATTTTTGTGCGACAAATGTGAGAAAACTCGTTTGGATGACTGTTAATTCTACCTCAGTTCACAGCGTGGCAAGTTTAGCAAACAACAACAACAACACAACCACAACAACAGCAATAAAGCAACCCTGGGCCCACTTAGTAGAGATGTAGTGTCCAGAACCAGGGACTGAAAGTTTCATTTTACTGTGGAGAAGGACTTCGGCAGCCTGGAGCAAAACCACGGGAGACTAACCATGATGGAGAAGGGAAGTGCAGTCCTAGGAGATCTAAAAAGTGCCCAGGGATGTTTATCCTGGAGAGAGAGAGATAGGGGAGATGCATAGGTGTTTTCCGATTCTTGGAAGGCTGTAAGTTGCAAGTGGGCTTGGGATGGTTTTGTGTTATTCCAGAAGGCATAACTAGGACCAGTGCACTGGAGGTATATCCAGGAGGATTTCATTTCAGATTAAGGAAGCACTTTTCATGTTTTAGAACTGTCTTCTGGTGGCATGTTCCTTGTTACTAGAGGTGAGAACTCTTGGACAGGGGAAGGTATAGGACATCTGGTGGTGGTGCCAGTGATATTGGTGGGGATGAAATTAGATTGACTTTCAGCCCTTTGAGTCTATGATTACTTGACATAGTTCCACATTTAGCACCATTAACTGGAGCTTTTTGATGAAGGTCAGTCAGTCAACACATATTTATGTAATATTTACCATTACATGCCAGATAGTTTTAGGAGATGGGGATATGGTGGTGAGCAAGACAGACAAGGTCCCTTTCCTGAGTGACTTTACATTCTGGTGGGATGAGCTTAGTGGATAGCAAAGAATATTATAGTTCTGTGTCAAACTCTGCTCTACTTCCAGCACTCTCTTTTCCTCCGGAATCAAAACTGACTAGACAGTGGAGAATTCTGGCCTTTCAGGTTTCTTTCTCTTAGATGAGAAAGCTGAGATGCTTGCACATGTGTTGTATGTACTGTCTTTGAAGGCTCCAGAGATGGTAATAGGGTTTGAATGTTATCGGTGTTTTATCTATTTTTACTATTAAATACTATGTCAGTCTGCTGGGTTTGCTTTACGCATATGAAGCTCCTGGATCATTTTGATGATTTGCCTTTTCAAGAGTTGACTATTACATATTTTTCCTTGATTACTTCCTCAATTATTGAGGGCCGAATTGGTTATTGGGAGAAGGACTTTATTCTGTTGCCCAAATTTATTATCATTATTTTCTTGAGAGACTCAAAGACTTGTTAGCTCTCCTGTGTTGATTCTGCTGACTTTAAGTTTGTCCACTGAATTCATTTAATAGCACTTGTGGTTATCCACTGTGTGCCTGGTACTCTTTCAGGTGCTGATGATGTAATAACAAAGTGCCATTCTTGTTTTCAAAGAGATTACAGTCTAGCTTTGGAATCACACCCCTGTGAGCATATTAATGGCATTGGATGTAACGGAGATATGTAGGTATAGAAACATAATGTAAATTACCTCCTACACTGCTGTGGACACTTGACAGGTATTAATAAAAACCAGCTGAGTTCAGAGCACGTTAGGAGCTAAGAAGGAAGACATTCTAAAATCACTAACTTGAGATTTCGAGTTCTTGAAATTATTCCTTTACTTTTTAAATGCTTGTGTTCTCTTGACTTACTATCTATGGTATTTTTGGTTTAAGCAGTCAGCAACTTGTGCTCACGACTTATAATTTGGTTATATTAGATAGAAATCGTCACTGATAGCTTAAAATGGAAACACATTCGAGTGTGCTCTTTCTCCCTCAGGCCTTGGAGTATCTCCTGTGGGCCAGCATGTGTATGGAGTTCTCGGTCCCCCTCCTGTCGGTCCGGTACTTGACGTGGAGAGCTACCCTTTACACTGCTGTCTGCCAGGGCTACTATGACTGCCAGGCTGGCATTCACGGAGAGGTGGGCCGCCTTCCATGCTCAGGATTCCAGTATTTAAAAATACAAGTTATGGGGCGCCTGGGTGGCTCAGCTGGTTAAGCGTCTGCCTTCGGCTCAGGTCATGATCCCAGGGTCCTGGGATCGAGTCCCGCA